ATGTGTGTGTACGCACATACTCGATGTGGGTAAGGAAGGGAAGAGGGACAGCTGCCATTCTACAGTGTAAGGTGTACTGTACATGATGTGTTTATCCCTTTACTCTAATGAAGTGAATGCTTGCCATTACTGTGAAATGGAATGGGATTATTGTTCAGTGAATGTATATAGAATCCTAATTGGTATTGTATGTGTACGGCAGTAGTAGTAGTGCACTGATCAATTTCCCAACCAGTTACAGTACTCTGGGCAGCAACAGTAATGGTAACATAGTGTCGTCTCTCACTCAGTGTGTAGTTAATGGCTTTTATTGTGAATTCTTATTTTGTTACTGTTAGTTATTTCTCAGTGTTTGACAATGGTAACTGTGCTATATTCTGTGACTGATAATGATGATGATGATGTAGTTTGTTGCGGTTTTCTATGTTTGGCAGTATATTTATTCATCCTCTATGATGATGATAGTGTATTACTATTATTTATTTATTTGTTTCAATCAAGGTGTGAATTTCTGAATGGTTGAGAGTGTAAGTTATTTCGTTCTCTTCATGTTGTCCAACCATTTGATGTGAATTATCGAAAATGATAGGGGTAGAATAAATAAAGAAAATAGACAGAGAAGATATAATATATGGAACAGTAGAATAACAAAGTAATGAAGAAGTTGTTGGAAATGATAATATCTGTATTGTTATTATTGCTGCTCTTGCCGCCCTTTGTCTGTGGCCTTGCTGCCCTTCGTGATGATAGTTGAACGTACGATACTACTGTGTGGAAGAATATGAGGAATAAAACTAATTATACACCTTCGTCTGTTTCTATTGTACGGGAATTACCTCAAAGTGGTAAGAGTATTGTTTCCCTTTACACAACAACAATTACTACTACTACAGCAGTAAAAAGTGATGAGGAGGATTGGATGCCTATTCGCATTCATGTCTCTTCTGACGAATTGGATAGAGCGATGAGGCGCTGCAGTAGTGGAGTGACTGGTTCTTCACATAGACACTCTCCATCATGCCGTGGTGGAAATGTACTCACACCTCAGAAACGAGACATTCTGTTGAATGAACTCCTTCCAGCAGCTATTGCACTGCACAGTGAGCGTCTTCTCGTGGTACGATCACGGTTTAATTCGGTCATCATACAATTTATCTCAGAGATGTGCTACACATACGTTGAGCTTCCCGCAGCGTATGAGAGTGTGGGTGTGGTTCAGGCGGACTTTGTGTTGTTTGTGTTGGCAGAGACGGTGGCGCCATTTGTGGTGATCTGCTCTGAGGCCGATGATGGGCGGCCGACGTCTGCGGCGATGAACTTTGCACCCGCAGACATTGTCAACACACGACTGTTCACTCGCATCATTGCACACAATTTGGCCCACGCCCTCGGGTTTGATGTGAGGCGAATAAGTGGAATGGGAATGACTGCAAGAAGTGGAATAACAACTACTACAGCAGAGGAGAGGGTGATGTTTACAGTGAACTCTCACAGTACTGTTGAGGCGGCGAAATGGCACTACGGCTGCTCGAGTCTACGTGAAATGAGACTTGATCACAACATGGCTGTTGGGGTGAGTTCACACTGGGATGGGTACATTGCAAAGGATGAATTGATGAGTCCATACACTACTGGGGAACCCTCTGGTATGTTTTACACCATACTGACACTCTCTCTGTTTGAGGATATGAAATTCTACCGGGCCAACTACATCATGGCAGAGACAATGCGATGGGGCAACCACTCTGGATGTGGTTTTCTCAGTGGTGACTGTGTAGAGAAAGATGAGGGCAAACACTCGGATGTGTTCTGTGATAGTAGTAGTGTTGCTACCAGAACAACAACTCTGCAGTGCACATCAGACCGCTTTGCACTTGGGCACTGCACTCGTAGTCTCTCCTCGCAGCCTATTTCTGTTTTCTCTGCAGAACACCGTGAAGAGAAGAGGGAGTGTGCTGTTGTGAAAGCCACTGCAGCAACTGTGTGTGAGAACGGCAGTGAGGCCCACATGCCTGGCAGTCGTATCGGTAATATATCACGTTGTCTGAAAGGAGATGCACTGCGGCTGCGTGATGTGTCTACTATTGATATTCATTCAATCATTGGAGATATATGTGCAAATGTGAAATGTGAGGGTGGTAAAGTGAGTGTACAGTATAAAGGGGATGATCATTGGTATGAATGTAAGGAGGGCAGCAGTATTTCACCGTCTGTTACTTCAGCCTTTAGTAGTGGCCGCATTGTGTGTCCTCCATACAGTGAGGTCTGCATGGATCTACCAATACAACCACCACCAGTAGAAGCAGTAGTAATGGAGGAGGTATACAACTTTACTTCATCCATCAATTTAATTAATAGTTGAGAGAAGTAAAGGTTTAATAGAGAATGTTTGCGATGGTGGGTGGTGTTGTTGTAAGACACCCTTAACAGATAACTGAATCTATAATACTCTAATTCACTATTGTTTTGTTTTTCTTTATACATTTGTTTGCTTTCTTTTTTCTTAATGTTTGTGAAACAACACCCCATAGCGGTGTCTGAAGTAGATGGAGATGATAGTACTCATTCCCCATGTACAATCCTATACTTTGTTTTTTGAGTAGTAATCATTGTTTTCCGTTCTTTAATTTGTGATGTCTTTTCACTGTATGTTGTACTGAAGAGAATAAATTGATAATAATTAACTGAACGTTGGATATCATCCTTTTATTAATAAATCATTTATTCTCTTTTTATTTACATCTTCTCCATACGCAGTCCGAATCAAACTAATGGGTTTATCTTATTTCTATTTCTCTTTTCCTCACTATCCACCATGTTAAGTTTGCGTGTACTTTTTAATAATGATTTCTATACCACATATGTACTCTCCTTTTGTTTTTTCTTCTCTTCTTCTTTCCTTCCTGTCAATTGAAGACCCATATGGACTAATAGTGAAGATGCCAAGGATGGAGTATATGATACTTGTCTCTGTGTTTTCTAACTGTGATATGGCTGTTGGTGAAGGGCATGAATAGTGAACAGAGGGAAACACTGATACTGCAACACTTTATATGGTTACATAGTGGAAAGAAGAAAAAGAAAGAAGAAATGAAAGTTAATAGTGCTGCAATTACTTTGTTACGACTAAGTTCTTAATAGGCAAGACTGAGTGTGTGTATATGAGTTATGCCTCCAGTCAGTAGTAATGTAGTTAGTTACTAAAGCCACTTGCTTTCTATCACTGTATGGTACTAACTGCAGTACTGCTGTCCCACCAACAATACCCCAAAACAAGAGTTCACCACCATGGAGTGAAAAGATGATAATGATGTGTTTATAGGTGGCACTATTAGGCATAGTTGTTAATATTGTTATTCTCTCTTTATCTATTCTTTCATAACGGAAAATACCTTTCTTTCTGCGTCTAAGTTGCTCACACGATGAAACTTCACGTAACTATTTGGATTTGATTATTTGTAACACTGCACCATGTAGTGTTAGAACCAGATAAAAAAACGAAGTAGATAATAATGATAAAATTCGTTCTTTATTAATGCTTATCAGTGCATATATATTTGGATTTTAATAATAAACCTTACTTTTTTATGTTTGTCATTACAATAACAATATTATTAATGATAAATTGTTGCTCTCTCTGTTTCTTCTCTTTCATAACATGACGCATCATAAATGAAAGAAGACAGCTACACAATCACTATGCGCACAACTCTTCTATTATTAACTTTGCTACTGATA